GTCTCATTGTAATGCACATAATTATTTGTATCTCACCCAGCTCCCTCAGGAGACATTTTATTCACTTTGTATCCCCGGAAATTAGCACAATGTGTTTCATCTTATGAAGACTTTAAAAACATTGACAAATGAATAAACAAATGAATTCATAAATGACCTTTAGCCTGCATTAACCTGAGTACTTTTTCTTTGCAGGCTAAATAACAAGGGAATTTGAATATAAATGAGTAAAGGCCAAGAAGAAAAATCTTTTTTGCACATTTCACTCTTTATAACCACATTGGTATAAGATCTGTCCAGAAGGTATCCAACCACGTAATATGAAACATAGGGACATTTACTGAATAAGATACAAGAAATATTGCACATAGGACAATCACACCTCGGTCCCCTTCAAAGTGGGCACCTTGGGACCTCACACAGTTCTCCCAATCACCATCAGCTGCCCCATCATATTATCCTGAATATCACTGATGGTCCAAAATCTCTTTCCTTTCAAAGGTGATCTTAGTTTTGGGAAAAGCCAAAAATTGCCGGGCACCAAATCTGGGCTGTAGTGGGTGTTGAGTCACATGGGTGATTTGATGTTTCACAAAAAAAACCCTGCACAAAACATGGTGCATGAGCAGGTATGTAGTTGTGATGAAGCTGCCAATCACCAGTTGCCCATAGCTGTGGCCTTCTGAATCATCTAAATAGTTTCCACAGAGGAATATTCAAACTTAATACAAAATTTGCTGCAGATTCATTGCTCTACTCACTCAGTCATTTTGAATTCAATGGCCACACAATACTCATGTCCAACAGTGTCTATTGCCCTCACTGACTACTACAGTGAAGTCATCATTGTTCACTCATGTGTACCCCAGTCCAGGCTCCTCAGCTGCCAGGTTACATCTATGTTACTCAACAGTCCACATTGTATTAACAATGGCTGGAATTTTTCTGGACAGACCTCATGTGTGTACACACACACACACACACACACACACAGATATATAGCCTCATAAATATTTTGCTTATGAATCATAGGCCTAATATCAAAGTTTAAGAAAGTACATAAATGTGGAGCTTGAGATAAAATTGTATTATGTTGACTGTTGCTTGGGGTAAAAAAAATAATAAAACTTTATTGGACAATTAAAACATTTTTATGCAAAATACTCTGTTATACTTAGGTTTACCTATGATTTATCAATAACTTGCATACTATAAAAGGGTTTAGACAAAATGTTCCCCGTGTATGTAGCAAAGACTGTACATATCTTCTAGCCATTACTGTCGACATGTGTCCATGTTGATTTGTACCCCCCATGCTGATTCATGGTTCACCAGGAACCATGAAGCCAACACTGCCCCATCGGGGCTTAAACACACTGCTTTGCCAGTGTCTGTTGAGGCTCAATCTGCTTCAAACTTATACATCCAATTTCCTGCTTTATACCTACTGCTGTACATCCCCTATATTCAAAACTGAACTTATGGTCATGCCCCAGCCTCATTTTTGCTCCTTAGACTCTCAACTTTAGTAACCTATACTAGCCTTCATTCTCCTATTTCTCCCAAACCCTCTTTTAATAAGATTCACAGGAAATAGATACAAAGAACCAAAGGGACATAAAAGTTCAGCTCTGTTAATAGTGGCACAGTAACTCCCAAATTACAAGGATTCCTAGTATGAAGAAGGATGTTTAGGACTGAGCCCAAAATATACCATTGTACTCCTTTCCCAGCTGAAACGTACTACCTGTAGATAGGAAGGCCCAAGCACTCCAGGCCTGAACAAAGGCAATGCCAAATGTTGAACAAAAAATTGTGCTACACATGAGCGGTGTGACCTCCAAATTCACCCAAAGGATAGATCCAGCCCTGACTGTCAGGCTCTGGCCCATTTCACCAATCAGATGTCATTCCTCTCCACCTGAGTTCAGGACACTGTGTTTGTGGGAGAGAAAATCTACAGATATACAATCAGCCTCTCACTTCTTACCAGGCAGCAAACATCCTCTGGGGAGCCTCAAGTTTCCTGCTTAACACTCTCTACCATGTCCCTAATTGTCCCAGCTCAGTACTTGGCCATAAATCTAAACCACATTATTTTTCTTCCTTCCTTATCATCTCTTCTGTTCTATTGATCACCAGATCCTGAAGTTTTATCTCCTAGATCTTTCTCCATACATCTTTTTCTCTCCATCTATCTTCCCTTGATGTTAGATCCAGTTATCATCCTTGGCCAACACAACAGGAATAATCTCCTCATTCTTTCTGATTTAAGTCTTGTTCCATTTCTAATCTAATCTCTGCGTTGCAGCCAGAGTAATTCTGAAACTCAACTCTGATCATGTTACCCTCTGACAGCTTCCCATTAACTACAAGGACAAAGGCTGAGCTCTTCAGAATGATTTACAAAACCCTTTATAAACTACTACCGCCTTTCCAAACTCATCTGCCCCATTTCCCTGCCCCATCCTCATCCCTGTCATATGAAAATGCTTGTCGTTTTCGACAGTCCGTGCACCTGCAAACCTTCATCCCTTTGTTCATGTACTGCCTCCTGTCTGCAATGCTCTTGACTCCTGCCTCATTTCATTAACTCTGCTTCAACTCTGAAGATTCTGCTGAAGCTATTACTCCTTCGGGGACCTTTCCATACTCAATACTTGTCCCTGATTTGCTCCCTCATGGAGCAGTCTGGGGAAATCATTCCTCTTCTGTACTCACTCTGTGAATAGCTACATCATTGAATTGAATACCCTATCTTGACTTTTTTTCTATGTCTGTCTTCTTATTGGTTAGAGGCCAAATCCCCTGTAACTAGAGGTTACCAGCACTCAGAATAAGTTTGTGGGCTTCAACTAAACACGTTGTTTTCCCAAATCATTTATTCATTCCTTAATTTATCTATTAATTCAATAACTTATTGATGAATTTTATGAGTTTCACCCCACTTGCACACTGTTGCTTGGCTGAGTAATAACCTAATTTCCCAGAAGTGTTTGGCCTGTGTGGGAACCAGTCATTTTCCTGCTTCACTTCACATTCTGCAGTATGTGAGGAATATTTGTTACCATTTTCAAACTGATTTGTAAATTACCCATTTGAACCTTTTTTCTAAGCTCTCATTTCGGTGACACTCCTGACTGCGCGTCTCTGTGATGGGGTTAGGCTGACATAAATGACGCTGTCTGAAAACCTAATCCTCTGGAACTGGGAGGCCATCACTCCTCCTTGCCGGCTCCCATCTGCAGAAAATGCAAATCTCAATGGCCGCCATCAGGATTAAATGCACTTTGATAAACAACATTAGCAAAATTATGTCGGATTATTATTTCACAGCAGGTCTTCGAAGTCACTCAGGTTCAGCTCGACTCTTCTTGTTTCAGAAGTCGACCTGCTGAAGGACTTTAGCTGCTATTGGGCACTGATCTTCTTTTTGTTTTGTTTTGTTTTGTTTTGTTTTTCATTCCAGTTTATAAAGGGTCAAGTTTAAAGAGCTTTGATATAAACCCTACATTTTCCCAAGAAAGTCTCAAGAAACAATGGGGAATCTTACAGGCTGGGAGGTAGCCAGCTATCCTGGGAGCAGTGGGCTTGGAAACCTGAGAATAATGAACATAGGTTCTCTCAGTGCTTCTGGCAATGAAGATAATGAGTGGCCAAAGAGTGCAGGCAGGAGGGACTCAGCAAGAACAGGGCCGTGAAAAGGTGAGAAGGAAAGGCCTCTCTGTGATTCTCCTCCCACCATGGGCCCATTTCTCCAGGAAACAGTAAGATTTGTAAGAGTAAGAGTAAGAATAAGAGCTCCCAAAGAGAATTATAAAATAATAATAATAATAATAGCAAGCTAACTGGTTAATTCTACACCTAATAACCAAATTAATAAATATTATACTCTAAAATCTTTTGGAAATACATTAAAGTATATACACACTCTCACACCTCTATCAGGAACCAAAATATTTAACAACCAGCTCAAAATATAACAGGCAACCAGGACAGATGCCCACCACAAACACCAGGAGGGCCGTCCTGGCGCACAAAGTTAAATGCGTTTACATACAGTTGAATACACGTACAAACGGCACACGCACCAGACATTCTTCCCTCCCTTGAGAAGTTCCACACTGAATTCTACTTTGGTTTCTCTTTTAAGCAACAAGAATGACTAGTGATAAAAATATTGAAGAAAGAGGACTTCTGCCAAGATGGAGACGAAGGCTGAGTCACCTCTTTACATCTTAGCATTGCTCATCAATTTTGAGCCAACTGAGCCTTAAGCAACTCTAAGCTTTAGGAAAATGTTAACCAAAATAACTGTTGTCTATTACTATTGAGGGGAAATAAAGTTTTAAGTTACAGATTCCCAGTGTATAATACCATTTATTTGAATTAATGTCCCACTGTGTATTCAGAGAGTACAAAATGATCAGGGATGATCCACTGGGAGTTAGATGGCAAAAGCCACAAACCCAAAGTGCTATGTTAATGGTTGGGAGGGTTTCACTTTTTTCTTTAGATTTAGAGAGAAGAACCAAGTATTTTCAGGTAGACATAGCCCCCAAGTAAGAAGGAGAGTTTGTTTCTTGAAGTTTTCTTTTTAAGAAAGAATTCCTGTTATGAATTATAATATACATTTTTAAAACAGGTAGGATAATTTTTATTATTGTTTTGAACATGCTCCTGAGATTGATTTTTTAAATCAAACATTCTTTGTTGTATCAGCAAATGGTCAAATAATACATTTCCTCCATAAGAGAAGAGAAGTGTTTGGGCTACTTGTTTCTGCTCAGGGTTGAGATGTCCGTGTGTCTGTGTGTCTGCACGTGTGTGCTGGGAGGCAGTGGGCACATGCTGGGATCCAAGTGCACTCGGGCGGGTTTGGAGTGGGCTCCTGCGGGCCTCCCGGGCCCGGGAAGGCGCGGGCGGTGACTTACTTACTTCCTGGCAGTGTGCTGATTATCTCCGAACCTCATATAAGACTCTATTATTTTCAACCTCAGAAATATTTACCAGAAAATCAGAGACCACGACCTACTGGACAAAAGGAAAACTGTCACGGCACTGAAAGCAGGCGAGGACCGGGCCATTCTCCTGGGACTGACCATGATGGTGTGCTCCATCATGATGTACTTTCTACTGGGCATCACCCTGCTGCGCTCATACATGCAGAGGTAACACCGCCAGGGGCTGGGCCAGCGTCTTGTGCCTCTGCCCTCTCCCTTCTCCCATTCTTTCCTAATAAGAACTTTGGCACATAATAGTTTTCAATTACGTTGTCTAGTAATAATGATAAAATATCTGTATTTATACACTGCCTACTATGTGCCAGGACCTTGCCATACATCCCTTGTGTAACTTTCACAACTATTCTATACAGTAAATATTAATATACTCATTATTAAAATGGCAAAACTGAGGCTGAAGATAGAAATAATTTGCCCAGTGTCACACAGCTCTGGCATATGGCAGAGCCAAGATTCAAACCCACATCACACTAATTCCAGGGACCCTGCCCCTGTATCTTTATACTCCTGTTCATTCTCCGCCCTCATTCCTTTTCCACCTCACCTCATTCCTCTGACACCCCGCACATCAGTGGTTCTCAACTGCACATCTAAAATTCCTGAGAAACTTTAAAAAGTCCTGGTGCTCAGTGGCCCCCACCATCACCCCAGAGGTCAGATTTAATTGCTCTGGAGTGGGAACCAGTCACCGGTAGCTCTTAAATTTCCCCAGGTGATTCTAATGTGCTGTGAAAGCTGAGACACACTGTGGTGCACCAGCTTGAAAAAAAAGTACAAATTTTGAACCCTTTTCATTTTGCTCTTTGCCCATGGTTTACTGAATAGATAGGAAGGCAATTAAATCACTGAGATTTCACGTGTATTCCCCCCAGAGTAGGCCACAGCGTCTCTAGCTAACACTGTCTGTAAATTGGACACTGTTAGCACAGGAGAGCCCAGCATTACTCTAACAAACAGGGAAATCTCACAGTGGTTCAGCTTAAAGAGGTAAGAGCCTTTTGAATGAAAAACTGAGGTTTCGATCCAAAAAAGAATCAAACCACTTTGTGGCATTTAATTCTCCACTTAAATTAATACTTTCACTTTACAAGCAAACTGTAGCTGAAATGCAGTAATCTGCTAAAATTAAGGCATCATCTCTCTCATTTGCGACTACTCTGCTCTGTTTCCTGGAAGCCCTCAGCTTCTCCTTCTCAATGGAAGTGCTGATGACTCAGGCCCCGAGTGTTCACTGACTCCAAACCACTTCCAGTCCCTCACACCTGCTTAGAACCACCTAAGACTTTCTCCTCTATGGATAAGCAAACTCTGATCACCAACATGCTAGGAAAATTCAGTTTGCTACACCAGTGGGGGTCAATGCTACTACAGTGCCCCTGGTATAAAGCTGGACAAGAAAGGGAGGTGCCTCCCTGGCTGGTATGGCTCAGTGGATTGAGCACCGGCCTATGAACCAAAGGGTTGCCAGTTCAATTCCTAGTCAGGGCACATGTCTGGTTACAGGCCAGGTCCTGACTGGGGGGGAGGGGGAGCGCGTGTGAGAGGCAACCACACATTAATGTTTCTCTCCCTCTCTTTCTCCCTCCCTTCCCCTCTGTTTAAAATAAATAAATAAAAAGCTTTAAAAAAAAAAAAGAAAGAAAGGGGAGCCCTGTCAATACATGTCCAGCAAAAGAAAGGGGTATTATTCTGCAAAGAAAACATGTTGTCCTCTGTTCACTACAGAAATCGGCTTATGCCCAGAAGCAAAATATCGACTGCTGGTGCATTACTTCCAAACCACAAATGTTACTCTTGGTCATAAAATTATAAATATTTTAAAGTAAAAAGCGAGTCAATAAGCAGCTGGAAATTTTTTTCCCTTTAATCTTTCTAACTGAAAGGTCCCAGGGCACAAACACGAAGCCAGTAGTCAGCATAGACGGTCCTGTTCACTGTGCTCTCGGGAGGCGCAGTGGAGGCAGCACCACAACACAGAACCAGCCTGGGCCTCAGAGAGACAAATCCAGGCTTAGGTGGGATCACAACTTCCATCACCTACTAGCTCTGTGTCCTTGCATGCTACTTGCTTTCTCTGGCCTTCAGTTCACTCGCCTGCAAAGGAAACTAATACCCAACATATAGATGAGAAGATAATGTATATAAAACACCAATTAGGGTGGGGAGAGGGGGATGATTTCTCTTGGTATAATCAAAATGTGCAGCTATCTTTTCTCCCTTATTAGAAAGGCCTTAGAGAAGGCCTTGTATCTGTCCTTCCATCTGTCAAGTTGGACTTCAAGCCCCTGCGCCCCTTTGTCATCTCTCCTCCTCTTCTCCCTTATACCTTCTCTGCCTACAGACTGGGCAGACATTGCAGAGGTGAGGGCTGGGGCCCAGCAGGACGCTGCTTACAAGGTAGAAATACAGAGTGAGTGCAGGTTGTGATATAACAAGGTGCCTTATGCTTATCAGTGAATTTGAGATAGGAAAAAAAATAACTTAAATCAAACATTGAACAATATTATTTTATGACCGATGATAGTCATTGAAAAAGTTCTCAGGTACCAGGCAAATTTTGTTTATATTTATATTATTGTTTGCCTAAGGCTACTCGATTCAAAGGAATAAACTTTAACAGATAGGTTGTATTATAGATCTGGAAAACATTTTTCAGGCTAAGGACAAATGACCCCTCTATGTATGCATTCCTTGCCGTTAGCTCTTTGAACTTGTGTTTTACCCTTCCCATCTCTCTGCAGTGTGTGGACCGAAGAGTCTCAATGCACCTTGTTGAATGCGTCCATTACGGAAACATTTAACTGCTCCTTCAGCTGTGGCCCAGACTGCTGGAAACTCTCTCAGTACCCTTGCCTCCAGGTGTACGTTAACCTGACTTCTTCAGGCGAAAAGCTTCTTCTGTACCACACCGAAGAGACGATAAAAATCAATCAGAAGGTAGGTCACCCCCGCAAATCTCCCACACTCAGCTCATCTCTCTCCGAAGCTCCCCTGTGCCAGCATTTCAAAGGAAAATGCCACCAGGAAGCAGGCCCTGCCTCATCTATAAACAGAACTCACTATTTAACTCTGGCCTGGGAAACATTTATTTTCTGTGCAAGTTGTGGACAAATCCCTCCCCCATTTTGTGGCAGTGCGGATTTACCCTTTACTTCCGTTTAGAAGAATAAACTTCATATCCTTATTTATACACCAGTGGACTGAGTCTTTCAAAGCAAATGTACAGCTTAGTCAAAATTGTACAAGCTAAAATCTCAGTTATTTGTCATATATCTGGGAGCCACGGGGTAAAGCTTTATTTGCTTTTCCACGGTCATTGTCACTTAGTTCTACAAACTTGAGGATGTAACTTAACTTCTCTGAGCCTCAGCTTCCTTTTCTCTAAAAAGGTAAAAAATAATGGTCATCTTTCAAGCTCACTGTAAGACTTAGAGCAGAGAATGTAAGGTGCTGAGCAGCGCACAGTGCCTGGCACAGGGGAGACTGTCGATTCAAGGTCACAGTGTGTATGCCCGTATATTTCACCATGTGTATTATGTCCACATAATGCATATGGAGGCTGAATTTTCCAGCACTGATATATTCAAGTTCACATAGTAGGTGGTCAAGGTGCACATAAAATTTGCAGTTATAAGGTTTGGGATAACCAGTCAAATGTCAGCAGAACCAACCTGCTATTATCAGTTTTAAGTTGAATAGACTGAGTTTTGTATTTATGGTGGCAATTCAGATGACCAGCGTACTCTTATATACCAAAGCAACCTAGTGCCACTCCAATAGGATAGGTGGCCCTCATTATAGAAGTACAGCTCTCATGAATTTCAGCTTTCCTTGTAAAAACTTGTCATGACAATTTTCATCACTTAAGTGACATAGATTGTATGTATTGAAAAAATTCAGCACCTTTCAAATTTGATTCTAGAACATAGGCTTTATTTTGTGATATATTGACACAAAGTAAGGAAATCCATCTTTCGTTTTCATTGCAATAACTTACAAGAATTCTTGCAACTGTCCCTGAGGACTCAGCATTATAAATATTTCAAAGAATGGCTTTTGAAAATGTCTGCCCTGACTTCCTTTGTTTGTGATGGCCACAAATTATGCCAGTCCTCACCCTTTTCTACAAATCTACAGAGCTCAGCTCTCCCACAAAGTGTGTGTCTTTCAAGATCTTCCCTCAGGTCAGATTTTTAAGTCAAAACTGACCTGTAGCAACAAATGCTTATAAAACTCTCCAGATTTCATGGAATTGGAAATTGGCCAAAGTCAAATAAGCATAAAAAAGTGGAACATATTTCCACTTCTTTGTTTTGATATTTTATCACTACAGCTCTGTAAATGCATTCACAGTGCTAAAAACAGGAATTGGACCTACCATAGAAAGTCTCAGTTAAAAATTTAGGATGAGTATCTTGTCTGCTGTCAACAGGGTAGTAGGTCAGTTTTTGGTCGTAATGGGGCAAATTCCATTACTTTGTTTTTAACTGTGACCTGTAACACACCTACAAAACCATGCAAGGAATGAAAGAACACAACTCAAGCATTTATTACACAGTTTCCTACATGTAACTACCATGAGATTAAAAAAATAAAATATTTCCTGCACCACAAAAACACCCTTCATGCCTCTTCCCAATAACTAGGGGCTCTGCACTCTGTCAAATGTAACTCTCCTGACATTATGGCAATTATTTTCTTATTTTTCTTTATAGTTTTATTACCTAGGCATATATCCCCAAACACTGTATTTTAGTTTTGCCTGGTTTTTAAACATTACATAAATGGAATCATACAGAATATTTCCCCTTGTGTCTGGCTTCCTTCACACAACACTGTATTTGTTGGAGCCATTCCATTTGGTGATGCATCATTCATTTTTATTAATGTATTATTTCCTGTGGTATGAACATGCCAATTTATTTACTCATTCTACTTTTAGTGGATATTTTGAATCACAGTTGGGCACCATTACAAATAATTCTGCCATGAATAGTCTCATATACATCTCTCAGTGCACAAGCACACACATTTCTGTTGGGTATAAATCTGGGAATGGTATATCTAGCTCATACAGTATACTTAGTTTAGGAGATAATGCCAAATGGTTTTCCAAACTGCTTTCACCAATACACCCTCTCACCAACCTTATACACTCTCACCAACCCTGTAGGTATGAGAGTTTTTAATTGCTACAAATCCTCACCAATATGTGGTATCATTTGTAATTTTAATTTTAGCTAATACGGTAATATTTCCTTTGATTCTCATGACTACTATTGCCAAATGCCTTTCCATTTACTGTTGGCCACTTGGATATTGTGTTTTGTACAATGTTTGTTCATTGTCCCTTGTCCATTTTTCTATTGGAGTGTTTCTTCTGCATATTCATTCTAGGGATTCTTTAAATCTAGATATGACTCTCCATTGGTTATATGTCTTGAAAATACCTTCTCCCATTATGTGGCCTTCTCACTCTCTTAATGATGTCTTTGTATGAAAAAACTTTATAATTTCAGTACAGCCAAATGTTACCTTTTCTGGTGGTTTTTTTTTTATTCTGTTCAGTCTTTATATACTCTGAGGTCATTTTCCTAAATTATTTTCCAGAAGCAAATGGTTTTTCTTTTGACGTTTAGAGTACAATTAACCTGGAATTGATATTTATGTAGGGGCCATATTTCTGGGCATCTTTTTTTATATAAACATCCACTTCCCCAAGTTCACTTACGAAAAAAACACCCTTTTCTTACCTGATTATATTTGTAATCCCATTTGCCCTTCTATTTTTGTGGTAGTTATCTGTTCTGTTGCTATTATTTAGTGCTTAGCCTAGAGATTACAATTTAAAATCTTGACTAATCAAAAACAATAAAACATTTTAACTTCATATATTATCTTCCCAACTTACATATTATTATTGCTCATATAGACATTATTTTTTTTGTGTGTATGTAGGTATTAATTTACATGTGTTCCCATGATTTTTCATTTTCATTATTCTTCCTTCCTTAATCTCTGGTCTTCAGTCTGAGCTTATGATCTTAGTGCCTCAAAAACACTCTGCAATTAATATTAAGTAATATTTGTTCTAAAGAATTATCTCAATTTTCTTTTGTCTGAAAAGATTTTATTTCATTCTCATTCTTGAAGAATACATTCACTGAGTATAAAATTCTCAAGTTGGTTGTTATTTATTTTTGTACATTGAAAACATCCCATTGTCTTCTGATGAGCATTGTTACCATTTAGAAATCAGCTTTTAAGATAATTGCTGCTTTTTTTAAAGTAATCTTGGTCTATTTTAAAGATTACTTTCTTTGGTTTCCTACAGTTTAACCATTATGTACCAAAGTGCACATTTACTTTTATTTACCCTGCTTAGTGTTTCCAGGGTATGTTCCCCGATGTTCTGTCAAGTTTAGATAATTCTCGGTCATCACCACATCAAATACTGTCTGCTCTCATTCTCTCTCATTTCTCCTCCTTGGACTCCAAATTGGCCATATGTTAGGTTTGCTCATTGTATTCCTTGTATGTCTTATTCTTCTTTTTATGTTTTCCATTTTTTGTCTTCTTGTGCTTCATTCTGGATATAGACCTATCCTGAGATTTGCAATTCTTTCCTCAGCTCTGATAAGTCTACCGTTAAACCCATCCTTTGAGTTCTTAATTTTTCTCACTATAATATTTATTTTGTAAGTTTTAGTTTTCTACAATATTCTAATTCTTGTCTTTTAAATCTTTCAACATAAAAAATAAAGTTGTAGGGACTTCCAGCCAAGATAGAGGCATAGGTAGACACACTGTGCCTCCTTGCACAACCAAAGAAATAACAACAACAATTAAAAAACAAAAACTGACAGAAAATCAAACTGTATGGAAGTCCAACAACCAAGGAGTTAAAGAAGACACATTCATCCAACCAGTAGAAGGAACCAAGCCAGGCAGCCAAGGTGCAGAGAACTTGCAGCAAGTCTGTGGCTGGCAGACTGGCAGTCCCACATTCATGTACAGATAAACCAGATGAAACAAAGGGGGAGCGGGGCAGGCCACACCACCCAGGGTACCAGCCCAGGGAAAGAAAGCCTCAAATCACTGATTGAAGACACCCCTGGGGAGACCCACAGGGTCCTGGAACGTACATAAACCCACCCACACAGGAATCAGCACCAGAGGGGCCCAGTTTGATTGTGGGGAGCAGGGAAAGTGACTGAAATCTGGCAGAGAGCAGAGCGATTGCCATTGTTCTTTCTCAGATGCCTCCCCCACATACAGCATCACAACCCAGCAATACAGGTTACCCTGCCCTGATGAACACCTAAGGCTCTGCCCCCCACTACATAACAGGTGTGTCAAGAAAAAAAAAATGGCCCAAATGAAAGAACAGATCAAAGCTCCAGAAAAAAATACAACTAAGCGACAAATAGGTAGCTAACCTATCAGAGGCACAGTTCAAAACACTGGTAATCAGGATGCTCACAGAATTGGTTGTATTTGGTTGCAAATTAGATGAAAAAATGAAGGCTACACTAAGTGAAATAAAGGAAAATGTATAGGGAGCCAATAGTGATGGGAAGAAAACTGGGACTCAAATCAATGGTGTGAATGGGAAAGAAGAAACCTCCAATCAGAAAAGAATGAAGAAACAAGAATTCAAAAAAATGAGGAAAGGCTTAGGAACCTCCAGGACATCTTTAAACATTACAACATCTAAATTATAGGGGTACCAGAAGGGGAAGAGGAACAGTAACAAGTAGAAAACTTATTTGAACAAGCAATAAAGGAGAACTTCCCCAATCTGGCAAAAAAAAAAAAATAGATTTCCAGGAAATCCAGGAATCCCAGAGACTCCCAAAGAAGTTGGACTCAAGGAGGAACACACCAAGACACATCATAATTACATTACCCAAGATTAAAATTAAGGAGAAAATCCT